AACCGTATTTACATTGAACCTTATGGGAAAATTTGATTCAGGTCGCGACCAATTTGGGTCGCGACCAGAGTCACAGAACGAATTAAGTTCGTGAACCGAGGTACCACTGTATATATCTTAGAGGAACTTTGTGCCCACATTTTATTTTTGTAGGCTGCTCATCCTCAGGATTGCTTGTAAATTTAATGTTATGTAATAATACAGTTGGATAGAATTCGGCAGTTTGACAGCTGAGAAGAAGCCACAGAAACTAATGGTTACAGGAAATGGTAAGTATGCATTAGCAGAATCCCTTCTTGAGAAATAACCAGCAATTTTATTTTTTATACTCCATAATTTTACAGCTTTGAGGCTAAAGTATATTCAGTGTTTTATGAAGGAATGTTCTTAGTACTTACCTTCCCAGCCTGTCAAATACAGGTGCGCTTGGCTTGCTGACATTGTTGAAAAACAGGTCTAACTGAAATGTATGGGGAGATGTCTCACTGGGAATAGAGCCAAAGTGGGGAAAAAAATCATTTTTTAACCAAAGTCTGGTTAATGAGAAAGTCAAGCCTTGAAAGACTGCTAATCAATCTGCAGGAAGATAAACTGCAGTGATTATCCCAACTGTTTAAACAATACTCAGTATTTACATTATTAAGCTACTATTTCATTTTTTCTGTAAGATAAGGTCCATTCTTTTCTCAGATATTCTTATGACATGAACAGAACTTCAATTGTATGTTCATACTTGTTTATGTATAATACGTATAAAATTACTAATATTTTTATTTTTGAATTCAAGCTTCTAATATTCAATAAAATCCAATAAAATGATAGTATAAAATTTTGGTTGTGGTCTTTTTTCTTTCAGTGTGACAATTTCTATGACATTTGGCAATGTGCGTGATACTGTTCTTTAACCCCAGGTACTTCGCTAGCTTGCTGGCTAGTCTTGAGCACAAATGTGTCCACATAAAATCCTAAAGTCTCAAAATGTCATTTTTGTAGTACACTTCATTACACTGAATGCAACTGTAAAGGATCCTCTCTTCCAACTATTGGAAGTTGCTTTTGGAAGGAGTGTAGGCCAAGGATGTAAGAAGCAAAAGTCTACTTCTTCCTCCTTTTCTAGCTTATTTGAGTCATCCTTTGTAATATCTGACTCAGGCAAACAAGAATTTACTTTAGCCAGAATTATGGCCAACACTATGGCCAACAAATCCAGCTCAAAAGAATATTATTTTCTCACAGCCTGCACTATTCTTTTATCAGCATTTCATAAATCCTGCCATTACTTCCTCAGGGTTCAAAAAATTCAGATTTCTGGCTATAGCTGTCTCAATTAATACACAAATCCTTCTCCAAGTTCTTTCATATCTTCAATTTGTTACAGTAGCAGTATATTTCAGTATATAATGTTGGATGGGCCCAGGAAGTCTCAATTCAATTCTCTCTATTATGGACTTGGCATGTACTTTCACTCTCCGATTCAGTACCCCATTTTACAGAAGTTAACAGCCTATCTCATAAGAATAATAGAACATGACAAAGCACTCTGCAAGCAAAAAACGTGTTGTACAAAACAGTCCTGGATAAACTCTTACAGCATTTTTCACTTACCCATAAGCTCTACTTTCAGGTAAGTTAGAGTGAGCTCTTACTCCTGGAGGAATCACACGCACTTCATTGATGTAAACTACACATGGAAAGCGAACCACGTCTACATTAGTGCTTTGCTAGAAAACAAAGTGAACAAAATTCATGAAGGTTGAAAAATATCTTTGTTTTGCTTCACTAGCACTCAAAAATCTCAAGATATGCATTTCACACAAATGAAACATTAACCAGACATTACCTAAAAGGCAATGAACGGTATAACAACTATAATTACCCATTCTTCATGACATGTCCAGTTGTACCATGCCATCTGCAGCAGAGAAGACTATTAAAAAATGACACTGCAGAGTTCATTTTAATTTGGCTTTTGTCATCTCAAAAGTTCCCCACTTTTCTTTGATAAACATTGGAATTCTATGTACTACATATGTGGACACTTAACAGACTTAGATACTTGGCTCACAATTAGTTTTTACTTCTTTTATTATACACAGAGATGTCCTCAAGCATGGAATGAATTTATGACACTGAAATACTCACAAATACTTTCTAATTACTGTGGTAAGATCTAATCACAACACTAATGACCATATGGTTGTTGTTATGTAACAAATATGCTACACAAGTTGTGAATAGGAGAAACATTTTATTTTATTAATTAATTAAAATTCATTATAGCCGCCAAACTCCAATGGACTCATTAGGGCCAGAGACTGAGGTCATGTTAACAAGCTGGATGATGTGAAGGGACAGGTCCACGAGCTGGTTTGAACAAAGAGGCCAATCAGACAAGAAATAAAGATCTGAAAAGCATATATTCAGAGTGACAAGCAAAGAAAAGGAAGAGGTAGCAGCAGAAGTACATACAGAGATTTTAATACTTAGCCAAAACATGGAAAAATGCATTATTCGTATTATTGACACAATCTAACAGTATTTTACTTAATGTGTTACTCAGTAGTCAGCCTGTAGCAATTTAAAATCACCTAATAATTAAATTAAATAATTAATTTGATTTAATTTAATTTAATTTAAATAATTAAATTAAGTTGGAGAAGACTCCTAAGAATATTGTGGACAACCAAGAAAACAAACCAATGGATCACTGAACAAATTAACCCAGAGATCTCACTTGAGGCACAAATGACCAGGTTCAAATTATACTACTTTGGACACATTATGCAAAGATCCAGCTCTCTGGAAAAGGCTCTAATGCTGGGAAAGGTGGAAGG